AAATTGATTTCATGATCTGCCAGATGTTACTGCCTCTTTTAGGGCAGATTTCAGAAGGGGAATACTACTATGGAAGCCAACTATATCCATAGAACATAATGGAAAAGTAAAAATAGATGTTCATATGTATGTGTGTGCGTGCACCTGCACATGCATGTACACATGTGCAGGGTTTGCCAGTGTGTATGTCTGCGTGTGCAAGTATGAAGTAAAATAAGCGATTCTTTTTTTTTTTTTTAAAGAAGCACAACAAGCTTATTTGAAGAAAGCACTTAATGGGTAGAGGAATACAACATTGTATTTATGGTCTACTAAACCTTTTTTCTTCCTCCTCCTTTTCTTTCTCACCTCTTCAGTTCAGTCAGGGTCCATCGAGGAGGCAAGAACCAAGATTTAACTCTGTCACTCCAGCTATCAGCTGAGCAGCACTGTAAAGATTCATCCAAGGCTCTCAGCAGATAGATCCATGCTAAAGCTGCTCTGCTCCCGCTCAGTATCTTTCCAGAGTAATTTGGGTATTATTTGTACTACTCATTGGTAAACCTAAACCTTTAGTTATCGGAGCCATTCCCATAATTTCCTCAGGTTAATTAAAATAGCCTAGTATGGGCCAAACAAAGATCAGAAGAAGAAATGTTTCCATTAATCAGAGGGGGAAATTATTCAAAGAGCTCCAATCTGTGCTTTCATGATAGATCAGTAAATCTCTGCTCATCTGTTCAGGAGCTGCTTCTGTACAGTAGCAGTCACTTGGTTGAAGAGGCAGCATCATTGAGAAGCAACTGAAACATTTGCCTTTCCCATGTTGTTTGTTTCTATAAACACTAATTAAATTGATGTCTTTTCCCCTTTCCTTCCTTTCCTTTCAAAGTAAAAACTTATTAGTGAGCCATCAACACATCCTAAGAGGGTGATTCACAGAAGTCAGCATTCTAAATATTTCAATAATATTGTACATCAGATGTTTCTAATAAGCCTTAAATGTTGTTCAAAAGCTGGTGTGACTTATGAGTCATGCAGATTTCCAAGTTTGCACTTTGTTACCCTACTGATTCAATTTTGGCTTCAAAGGTTACAGTCAAGGTTTTAAGGTTTGCTACAGGCTTGATGGGAGTGGCCCCAGTGTAAGCTCAGGGAAGTAAAACAAAAAGAAAAGTGAAGTTCACTAAACATTTTTGCTGATGGAAGGTGACTTTAAATACATAGGTGAATGTGTGTGTACGTATGTGGTATACACACACATATACATACCCTCACATATGCACACTGGGTCACTTTCAAACTGGGGGAGACAAACATCTTGCAGTTCTGATGAATCTGTGAAATTATTTTATGGATGCCAAAGAATATAGGAAAATAGCACAGCCAGAAACCGGAAACTTACTATGAGCAAAAGCTGTTGAGAAACTAAAGGACTAAATCTGTATTCATGACCCAGTTTGCAAGCTTGCTGAAGATGATGCTTTCATCATTTGAACCACCTCCCACCATTGTGATTTCTGATCTTCCTTATTCACTGCAGTCTCAGCAATATTGGTTTTTTGTTCTCTGATGCCATATACTGGCAGTCTTTCATTTTTTGGAAGTCACATTATTTTTACCAGCCTTCTGAAGTCCTTAATACTACTCCAGTTGAGCTATAATTTAGAGAATCTCTATTCTGAAAAGAAACCAAAATCAGTTGCCAAACACACATCAGTGTTTTACTGACACAAGTTTTGTTTGCAAAATTATTTTTCAAAAGCATTGACCGAAATGGAACCGTTCAATGTTAGCCTAGCCTATATGGATTGGCAAGTAAATTCTGCTCCATCTTCAAGGCTTGGTATGTTCAGATAATGTTAAATACAGTAAATAGGACTTAGTTTTATCTTATCAAGCTTGCTAGGCTTTAGCTACAATATCCTAGTTATGTCATACAAATAATCAATATGCTGCCTTTAATGGATCTTGCTTCCGTGTGCTTCAGTTCAACTATTGCTTTAAAAAAAGAGGAAAAAAATCCAGAAATCTTGCTGTATGCAGCTTCATTCGCCAGCTACCGCATTACTTGCTTGCTCACTCAATACAGGACAGCAAAAGGGGTAAACTTTAAAGAACAACCAAACTAAAGCAACACCTGTCTTCATTTGGATGAAGTGTAGAAGGATGAGACACTCCATTTTTACTGTGAATAAGATGCTATTATGAAACAAAAATGTTTTTTTTTAAATGCAAAAAGAATTATTTGCCATAGTCCAGAGTCTTCAGTGCAATCTTGCAGAGAGATAGATACAGATATCTATAGATATATAGATATACACACACACACACAGACACACACCTATATCTCACAAAAAAATGCATTGAATGTTGCTGACTCTCAGTCTTCCTTAAAACTGAAGGGAACAAGATAGCCTCTACTCGAGTGGGACTTCACGGAGTCAAATGGAGTTCTGGAGCACAGCCTTTCTATATGATATACTCATATTGCTTTAGCTATCATGATTTTGCAGACAGCAAATGTTTAAAAGGCTATGTGGGCTTTGTTGTATGGAGAAGAAGATCTGTACGTGGGGAAAAGGACAAGAAAGACTTCACAAAGAAACAGGAACTCAGCATGTTCCTAATTACTTTAATTGCCGTTCCCCTTACAGAAGCGGTTTGACTCCAGAGGGGCTTCTGCCAGCAGATAAGAGCTGTGTTTTCACTGATGCCTCCTGCAGCGCTCTGCCTCTTATGTGGTACATTACTGAGGGCTTGGAGCAGATAGTGGGAATGGGTAAAAATCCACACACAAGCCTCAGATGGTTGGTTGAAACCTTACAGGGAAGTAAGCGTATAAGCTCTTTCTGTGAATGACGGAACTCGGTAAGGTTAGGGTTCATGAAGTGTAACGCTGAGGAATCTGGGTTTGGATTTCTTTCATATGCTCAGACTGTAAGTAATATCTACAAGCGTTCACAATGTCTCTGTAGCTACAGTGAAGTCCAGTAAGTGCCTTGGACTTGATTTCAGGCTGTAGGATTCTAGAAGAACCCCTAGCAGCTGCTGTTAATGTAATGTGCAGGGGGGCAGAATGTCTGTTAGCTCAGGGGCTGCACCAGCTTTGGGCAGCGTGCTGAAGGCTGCAATCCAAAAGCGGGCAGGGCCAGGGCCCCATTTGGCAAGAGGGAAGCGGGGAGCTTAAAGGGGTGAAGCGAGTGCCTTAAGCATGTACAAGGTATAAGGCACATAGTTTGCTTCCAAATCCCAACTACCCACTCTGAAGGCCATAAAAGGGATGCTGGTAGGCCTTTTTTTTTTTTTTAATTTTGTTTTGTGCCCCTGATAATAGTGCTGCCGTGCTGTGGAGCAAACACTCTGAAATGCTCCAGATGGTTAATTCAAAGTCTTTTCCAGTATTTGAGGCTTGGTATATCTACCTAGCTGTCCGAGGGAGTTCCTTGTAGCACAAGGCATTGCTAAAAAGATGAGTCATTCTGTCACAGTCAAGATCCAGCTCTGAATTACTTAAAATCCATTCTTTTGAATTGTTTCCAGTAGTGTCTGTGTTAGCTCCTGCTCCGTTGACAGCTACGTGCATATTAGTCAAAACCCTTTTAAGGTGAAGGCCGATCTTCCTTTGCTACTTAGCACCTGCCTCTTTTCTTGTCGAAACTAGAGAGATTTGCATAAAGGAAAAAGGAATTGTATGTGAAAGATATTTTTGATGCATCATAAATGTATTTTGAAATGAACAGAAAAAAAAAGAATAAATGGTCTATTTTATTACATAAAGGTCTTTAATCCAATAATGTGTGAACTTCAGGCATTGACATTTGCACTGTAAAGGGTGAATCCTATTAGCATCATGATTATGTATTAACATGCCTATAGTAAAGCTCATTTTTTGTTCATTAATAAGGATCAAACGTTGCTTTCGAAACCTCAGATTTAAACAGAATGTTTTAGAGTCCAGTTTTGGAATATGCTCGAATACACTTTCACTTTCAATTTTTGGGAACGGGTTTTGTGGTGTATGTTGAATCTTTTGTTGATAGTTATTTTGTCAGCATTTTTAAAGAAACAGGTTTGGCAGTGCTTTTCCTCAAAGCACAATGGAGAATTAGCCATTTCTCCCAAGGGGGGGGAAAGATGGAATTAATTCCTGCCTGTTCTTGCGACCCGTCACAAGGCTCCATTTCCTGTTATTAGGTAGGTGTGGCAATTTGGTTGTTCTTTAAGGAAGCTCTTGCACACTTTGGTCCATTCCACACTGACACAATATAGGCCCACTCTGTATCAGTTACAGGAAACAATATGAATGTCACAGGAGGCAAAGGCCTTCTGTTTTCTTTGTTTCAAAGAAAGTGATGTGCCATTTGTTAATATAAAAGAGAAATATTGAAAATATATTGAAAAGAGCAATTTTAAATTATTTTTGGCTTATGTTGCAATATTTATTTTCTTGTATTAGAAATTCCTTTGTAGAGAAAAAAAATGTATTTTTCATTAATGCAAAACCTATTTCTCCTTTTTGTACATTTTCCATGTTAGTTAATCCTTAAAGCAATATAATGTATCAAGGTTGTTCTGTGTGAAAGCTGTATTATGCATGCTGTTTGTGTTGCCTTGGAATAGGTCTGTCTGCCATAATTTTCATTATGTTTAGATTCAGTGTATGCTTTAATACACGTTGGGACCACGGCCCATTTGCTTATGAAAAAAGAAATACCTTTGCATTCTTCAATGTGTTAGCAAATGCAGTCAATAAAGATGTGTTTTCTGTGTACTTTGGTCTGAATATTGAATATTTAGCAGCCCAAGTTATCTCAGTATTAAAGAAAACCATCCTTTAATATGTCAGTAAGCGCTTCAGACTTTAAGAATCTATGCAGTATGAATTCATTTCTACCAGGACGGATGGCATCATTCAATTTTAATTTCTTAATTGTGCGGCCATGTGTGTGCCACAGTTCAGTGAAAAGGACAATAAAGCTGAAGAAGGTG